CGTGCGTGAGATGGACAAACAGACAGAGAGACAGGCAGACAAACAGAGAAAACTGACAGTCAGACCGACAGACAGACAGACCGACAGACCGACAGACCGACAGACAGACAGACCGACAGACAGACAGACAGACAGACAGACAGACAGACAGACAGACAGACAGACAGATGTGTGTTTATGTGATTATGTCCTCTTATTAGTCAGCGTACCTTCTCTATACATCTATCAGATTTCCAGACCGTTAGAAACCAACCAAACATTCCTCAAGTAGGTGATCTCATGGTCTTTGACTGTAAAACGCAAAAAAGCTGACTCGTTGACCCACATTTCGCAATTCCCACCACCAAAGACGCAATTAGAAGTATAGACACCTATCGTGAGTACTCCACTGAAGTTATGAACTCATATTGTTTCCTTGCCAATATCAACGCTTAGACTGTGAATCATGGCATCGGGACTTGAAACAGAAAATCCTGCCTGTACACCTACAAAAAAGTTTTATGAAGACCAAAAGGAGCCAGCAGCAAGCAACATCTTGGCTCGGTCCAACAGAAACTACGCGCACTGGCTTTTGAGCAGCGTACGAGTTGGCGAGTTCGTGATGAGTAAAACAGCGCGCACGGGGCATTTGCCGGGTCAAACTTCCGGAGTCTTGGAGAAGTTTTTGGGAGTGGAATAAATTACTCAAAGGAAGGAAAACTGGAAATTAAAATTTGATTTAAACATACTCACATAGTACTTGCAGCCTGTGGGTTTGTTCCTGTAGGTTCTATCCTTACTGAAGGTCCGTCGGTTGTGACGTAAACAAGAAAAGTTGAGTAGTAGTGTAGGAAAAGTTCCAAGTTCCGAGACACGCCAACTAGTCCGGTTTGTTCTGAGAGTCTCTCTCGGCTCGCTGTGCTCTCTCCCTCTCTCACACACACGCACACTCGTACGCTCACCCAAGAGTTGTAGGCCCAGGACGGAGTACACAAACACACGCATACACACGCGCGCACGTGAGTGCTGGCTCGGGAAGCCAAAAGCTGAAGGCACTGGAGCTGGGCAAAATCCCAGACTTAAATTCGGTTAACCGGTATACATATATATATATATATATATGCAATGTATGAAAAGGAGTGAGGGGGGGTAAATTAGTGAACCTCTGATTCAAGATCTTAGAAGGTAAATCAATGTACTATCTTTTACGAAATATTTCCCGATGTACTTTCACAAAATAACTGAGGGTCCATTAAATTTTGTTACATCCCACACACACATACACCGTGTGACGCCACTTCGGAGGAAGAAAACTCGATCCTCAGTTTTACAATGAAAGAAGGAAAAGGAAAATATTATATCAGTTATACACAAGTAGCGATAAATGTCGTCATGGGTCTATTTCTTAAGGCTTGGTTTGACAAGGGATGGAAAGAAGGGGTTTAGGGGGGGGGGGGTCAGCTTCAGTACAAAATACACACGTCTGGCAATAAAGTTTAGATAATTTCTATTTTGAGGAACAGTTCTACACGACTTGATGACTGCGCCTACTCTTGAATTTTTATTTGCTTCCACTTGTTAACAGAGATTGGTTGACTCATTTTCCAGACAAATGATTCCCACGAACTACTTTTTCTACGGATATAAAGTTCTAAAAGGTATATGTACACCCAAAATTCGGTTCGTCCGAAAACGGGTTGTTGCCCGGCTCGACCAGGCGCCAAGACCAGAGCCGGGGCCAGATCGAGGCTCCCCAGATAACCTTCGTGGCCTCGGCTTGGGGGGAGCCAGCGGATCAAAGGTGCATGCAAAAAACGTCTACCTGAGTGGCTGAGCAGGTAACAGTAGGACTGGAAGGCATAAAGGCACAGAGTGAGAAACAGACAGACACACACACAGACAGACAGAGAGGTGGGGATGGCTAGTGAGATGAGTAGGTTGAGGAAAAGAAAAAGAAAAGGAGTGAAAGAAAAAAAAATGAGACAGAGCAAAATAGAAAGAAGAAGAGGAAAGGAAAGGGCAATGAGGTGGAGAAAAGAAGACAGAAGAAGACAGAAAATGGAAGCAAGGAACCGGAGAAGGAGGGCAGACAAGGAAAGAGGTGGGATGAAGGATTAGGAGATAGAGCAAACAATGAAGGCGAGAAAAAAAGAAGGAAAAAGAGGGGATCGCGGAGAGAAGGAGGAATTGGGGTGGGTGGGGGCGCTTGGGATCAGGATAAGACAAGGCAAGCATACAAACAACTTGACAGGCTGATCGACATACGGCCTGAGACACAGAGATACACAGACTAAAGCAACCTGACAGGGAGTGGGGATGTGGAGAAATAAAGAGGCTGAAAGAGGAAGAAAGACAGACAAAAATAAAGAAAGAAAGAAAGAAGGGGGGAAGGGAGGACGGAAGGATGGGAGGAAGGAAAGAAGGACAGAAGGAAACAAAGAAACTTTGAAACAAAAAAACAAGCGAGTAAACACCGTAGGATAGCTGAGTGGGAGAAATTCCCGTGGAGTCTCGGGAAGACAGGTAGATGAGATCTCACGGCTACGGTCACGTGGTGCTAAGAAGAGGCGAGATGGTCAGTTAATGTGACAGACACGATAACGTAGACCGTACGCATCATCAAGAACTCCCAGAATCGGCTACTGTACGTAGAGAATGGGAAGAGGGAAGAAAGGAAAGAAAGGAAAGAAAGAAGGAAAGGGGAGAAAATGATGATGCAGCACAGAGACTTTGTGAATAATGACTGATCTACGTCAACTGACTTCGGGCTACACAGAAGCGTACGTTCAGCTCTCTCATTATCAACATGGCCCCTGGACCTCCAGTGATTGACGTAGGCGAGCTGCTGCAGTGTCTCCCGACAGTTTACGACACTCAGCTAAACAATGTTTGTGTTTGTCGTTGCGTGAGTCATGGGGACGTTCCATCAAGACGTGTACGTCTCTCGGGAAAAGGGAAAACGAATCAACAACAAACGGCAGAAAAGTGTTAAGGGGGAGGGGTAATGGAGGAGGGGAGGGAATCATTTCTGGGAGGAGAGAACATGGGTTACGTTACCCTCTGTCTACGAGAAAAGTTCTGATTTACGTGAACATGTGCCACAGATGCGCTCACGCATGCTCTCGGAGTCACAATAACTTTTGATGACGTCACGGGCACAGGTATGCGATAGCAGCCAGAGCAGCCAGAGCAGCCAGATAGAGAGAGAAAAAACTACTGCGTCAAAGGTATAGATCAAATGATTTTGGCGGGAAACGGTGCATTGTGGGATCAGAATGACCTGGCCTCCGCCATAGCTCATGTCTGTTGATGATTCGATTTCTCTATAAATAAAGTAGCTTTCTTTGCTCTAATAAGAGTCTTTTATAATATTGTTATATGGACTCGGTTTCTCTTAAAGTGAATGAATGAGAAGTTATACATACAGTAAGAGGAGTGTGATGGTTGCAAACGCCGGTTTGCTGGTAACATGTAACTTGAAAACGTAAACGCGTTGCGCGAGATTTTTTTTTTTAAACCCATAAATTTTTCAACTTTCCACTGAACTACATTTCTGGCTTATTAACTTAATTGCTGGGGAAGCTTGTCCAGAGTTATGTTCTAAAAGCCTCTTTTAAGGCTCACTTAATCTAACGCCTTTGAAAATTTGAGGGTTTGCACTCGTCTTATTTTTGACCGAATTTCAAGTAATTAGCACATTATTGACCTTTGACTATTATTCACCACTACCTCAGTCTGGATGCCGGAAAATAGACTTAATTCTGGGATTGTCATGTTCCATTTAATGTAATTTTAAAGTATAAAAGATCTCCAAAAATTGTATATATTCAGAAGATACCCCATGCCTTTTAAAAGACTCCCTCCTCAATCTACTCACAGCAAAAATTATAAAGACAGTAACATGAGCTGATGAAGACGTTTTAGTTCGTTCCTCCTACAGGAGTGTTTATTTGACGATCTTGCTCCTATGATTTGTATACCAGAACTCCTGGGACATTCCAACAAAATAGGTTCTCTGTGCAACAGGACAAAGTTAGGATATTTCTATTGTGCTAGACTGAGACAGTACTTTCAACATGTAACAGGTCTTCACAGGGTATACATCTATCGGTGATTGTTTGGAAATGGTTTGCACCCCATTCAACATAATTGTTAGATTATTTAGGAGTTGAATTTCTTCTCTCCTGATTGTCACGGTCAATCTGGGCTGAACGATATATCTTTTAATAACATAGCTCCTCAGCAAACAGGCGGAGAAACTTGATAGAAGAAACTCCCACTTCCCGGGAATCGAACTCAAGTCTTCTGCGTGCAACAGAAAAGAACCTAATCTTTATTCAGCAGACGGTGAGTGCGTACATTTTTGGGTTGTACTTTGAGCAACAGCGTAAGCAGGAAAAGTAGAGCAAAAATATCAAGTTGGCTGTTACCAAGAAACCTTATCTGCCAGCAAAAATATTTTGCACATCTATCTGACTTCACTCAGTCAGACACGGCAAATATTATAACATTAAAGAACTTGGCAATAAACTACATAGAATAGAGTATCATGTAACTTAACACCGATATGATACATGCTCTTTGAAGATAATTATCTGTCTGTGAAGTGATTAGGTCGAGGTCACAGATGCAGAGTGAGTCAGGCAGTCAGTCGGGTTACGTGGACTTTTTTATAACTTGTTAAAAAAAACTTCCAAGAGATCACGTGAACAATAAAGTACGGAAGTAAACTACATCAAATAACGTTAGGTTACATTTGGCCTGTACGCTGGCCGCTTCTCGTATTTCTTGGCGGATCATGGGGAGACAGTCACACGTTGTAAGGGTATTACATTTTAAAAACGGTCGACATGTTTCGATTTTTTCGCCCCATTCAATGCAATAACGGCATTCCAGGGGCGAAGCTCTGTGATAGATAAGGAAGAAAAACTTTGAAGACTCCTGAACGTTTCAAGTTCAAAAATTCAAGGAAAAAATCCATAATTCCACCATCAAAGCTGGACAAAATTGTAAATGTTGTCAAGACTTCCCAATTGCGCCTAGAAAGGAATGACACATGTGTGTGTACTTCTTATTCTAGTTACCGTTTTTATTGGAAGTGTTTCTTATTTTCTTCATCTCTTTGTTTGATTTCTATACAAATGGGACACAGAAAGGCACAAGTAAGCAGATTTTTTTGACAGCTTATTATGCTAGTAAGGACGGAGAGAACGGAATTCACAAAAAAGGGTGAGTTTTAGTTGCCCTGAAGGCTTGATCTAACTCTAGCTCAGTCATATCGGAAATAGACGAAGTCCCTCAGTGCAAATAAGAAATAGGCGGTGCCCATTAGAGGATCAGTCAGGCGCCTTGAAAACAAACGCGTTTGCTTTTGAAGGTCATCATCGGTTTCGTTCAGTTTGTGTCACGATGGTAGCGTTTACCCCTCCAAGGAAGAAAATCTGGCGAGTCCCCGACGACAGAACAAAACCTACCCGACCCTGCCAATGTTACAAGGGACATATGTGAGGCAGCGTGGTGGAATCAGGCTCTCGTCAATTTTTGGGCACATCGAGTTATAAATTGGTATCATCGTAAAGCTTGTTCACTTGTCTTTATTTGAATGAAAAAAATATCCGTTTATCTTAAATACAAGTCGAGCTATTTGAGAATGAAGGAGGTGGGGGTCATCTGTTTTCAGAGGTAAAATTAGTGAGAAAATGGCCGCCAAAGATTAGTTATTTCCTTAGCCTTAGAGTCCGTTAAAACTAAAAATTTACATTTTTTGTGTGCCTTTAATCAACGTTTTTCAGAAAAATCTACACAGAAATGAGTTAATTAATGGGCATGAAAGGTGTTGAGCCAAAAAACTAAAATTTGATGAAAATTCACAAACCTGTGGAAAAATGCAAGTTTCTTTAACTTTGATTATTTGGACGAGAGCCTGATTCCACCACGCTGCCTCACATATGACGTGGTACTGAA